TTCATATTCATTCTTAAAAATTTGATTCTGGGAGTCTCTCTTCTCTGACTGCTCCCCAGAGATGGACCGTGTATCTTCTGTGTTAGTCACCAAACAGTTCTTAAGTTTCTCTTACTTCATGCATTATATTCCACGATTTCATGCAATTTCTTTTTTGTAGCACCATGTGTAGTATAACTGTCTTCTGGAAAAGCAACATATTTTTCTTTCTTTCGTTTCTTTGTAACCTACCAGAGTACTTGTCATGATAAGCATTTCTTAAACTGAAATAAACTGATGATTCTGTGTTACAACTAATACAGAAGAAAGTATTCTAGGAGATGAGGCAAAACATATGGCCCTACTTCTTGAGCTATGTCCCTTCACCTTGCATTCTTGCCTAACTGTGCAGCAGAATTGCTGTAACTCACTCATTCATTTAAAAAATGTTTCAATCGCTGTGTGATAGATTATGTGCCAAGTGCACCGAGGGTAACAAATCTGAGTGTTAAATATCTTGTCTTCAAAAAAGTTGCCATCTGGGTTAAGAGTAGGGTAGAGACAGAAGAATGCAACAATTCATTGAATACTGCCATAAAAAGAGAGAGCTAAGTGAATAAAAAAGGAGCCCTACAGATATCCAGAGAAAAGGAAAGGATAATCTGGGAAAACTCTATGCAAGCTTCCAGCCTCTGCTCCTGATATTTGCCAGCCTCCAGCTTCCGCCCCTAGTATTGATCTTTAATCTGGTCTTAGAAGAAAGGCTCCTTACATCCCAAGTCCTAGAGAAACCCTCACTCACAGGAGACTAATACGATCTGTCTGCTACCACTGAATACCACCATATGTAATTCCACTTCAATTCTGGCACAATTTTACATTGCAGAATACAAGTCAGGTTCAAATAATTTCATATGTTGCCTCTCTTGTTCAATATTCCAAGACAACGTATACCACAGAAAGACCAAAATGCCAGACATACTGGAAAACCCATTTAGCTCAATCTATTTAAAAATTTAGATGGATTCAATACTGGAAGCCTAGGACGAAGAGAGGAAAATGCAGTGAAGATATAAAAATAATGTTTTTTGACAGAAATGAGTGAGAAGATGAATTGAGCCATAGACATAGAGGAAAACAAGAGCAAAGAAATGCTTGAAAACATTCTCCTGCCACCTTCCTCTGCGAGTCTTCGGGGCCTGCAGGGGTAGCCGAGACTGGTGTTTACGGTTGTTTATGTCAACAGAACCTGAATGTTCTCTCTTCCTTCTCTCTGTAGGGCACTGAATTTCCTTGAAAGAAAGGATGGTTGCAGTTTAGAAAAGCAAAGCAGGCCTAGATAAGTGTCAGAAACACTGGGAAGGCATAGACATGCCCACTGCCTCTCCAAATCTCAGTGCCATCCCTACCCCTTTATAGCACACACTCTAGCTGACCTCTGTGCCTGAACTGTGGTGTCATGAAGGAAAGTTTATTATTCAAGCTTGAGGAAAGCTACCAGTACATGAAACACGGGAGAATGAATGCAGCATCCTAACAGCTCTCTGGAAGACAGATGCCCCTCACCATACTCTCCAGGGGGCAGAACCTGGTCAGGGGAAGTGACAGGGCTCAAGAGGGGCCAGGTCATTGTGAGGAAATTTATTATGAGGGGAAAAAAGGAATATCAAAATAAGATAGAAAGGGACCACAGAGATCAATTTTATCTATACCTTCAACTTCCATCCCCTTTTCCTCCAATAAACCCTTCTCTGCATAATTCTCCATGTCTACTCATTTGTTTCAATGATCAGAATTCTTTCTTCAGAAATACTCACGCTGCTGAATCCAAAACGTTGACTCTGTTCTTCTTGATACATTATTCTCTCCTTGATGCCTGTGCTAACAAACATACCCACCTCCCACACGCACAAATACACACCCCTCCCACGCACACTTGCCTTGGAGATTGATGACATGGATTAAAGAAATGTTTATCAATTACTTTTGTGACTTCTAAGCATTTTCATGAGCATGCCCAGGAATGTCTCACACGTTAGGCATTATTATTGCCATTGTATCACAGATAAGGAAACCGAGTCATGGAAGAGAGCTAAGTCGGTCAATAACATCACAATAGCTAGTAAGTGAGTTTGTATTTAGGCTTTTGATATCATATTGCATTTGTTCCAGCATCTAAGTTTGCCTTTGATATTATCTTACCTTGTTACCATGGCCTTAGGTCAAATTTTTTTTCATGATATCTTTCTGAATAAATCAATCTACACAATAATCTTCTTTGAAGTATGCTATGATGATAATTATAATTTTAGAAATTATATAGTCTGATTATCTTTTGTGGTGTATAGCAAAGCAATATATAATCACTTACAAAAGTTATACAATTTTACTTAAGAGATACCGAGTGTTAACCATATAAGTCAAGTTATTTCTTGACAACATGCTTATCACCTCCAAACAGAATTTCTTGTCTACCAAGCTTTGAGGCACCAGGCACACTTCCAGGGAGTGCCTATCATTTTCTAGTTAATCCAAATAAATATTTTATTTCACCAACTGTATCATAAGCTTTGGAAGACAAAAATTATCCTTTGTATTTCCTGTATTCTTGCATAATCTACCACGTCCTTATCTCTGTAGAAGCTAGGCACATAGTATGTGTGCAATGAAATCCAGCTATCTGAGTCATAACAAGTTAAATATAAGTCATTAGCTTTATTAGTGCCTTCTGCTGTTGTTTTGGTGGTTACTGCATCTCAATTTCAGTGTGTTTCTGTTTCTCAAATGCTTAGAAAATGCCAAGACTTCCAACTCCCAGGATTTTTGGCAGATCTGCATTTGTGCCAATTTTTAAAGAGGCTGAGAAAGCTTATTGTGAAGAATGATTTTTAGCTCTATTTTTTTCATCTGCTAATGTTGCATGTTCAGCCAAAGCAGGAACAGCATCCCACCAGCCATATTGTATTACATTATGAAACTGAGAATTGCATTAACAAGATAATCTCATAGATATTTCCGAGACAGGAGAAATGTGCGCAATCATTTTCTAAAGGGCAAGGAGAAAATGGCATCCAATTGGACAGCAGTTGATACCGGAAAAGAAGAGTCCAGCCCAAGTGAGCGTCTGGGCTCCTTTCTGTGACAGACGTCACCCTCCCAGCCAGCCTGCCAGTGCCCCAGCAGCATATGCTGTAATCTGGAAGATGTGGTTTCTAGTTACCAACCTGATATCTCTCTGCAGCATGAAAATGAAGTGACTAATGTCAGGTGAGTATAAAAATTTCCTGGAAACAGAAGTTGACAGCTTTAAATTTTTGTTATGTTACATGAACCAAATTTAAGAAAGTTTCTATTTCTTGCTATGAGGAGTTATAGCTATTAAACTATCTCCAACTTTCTGAGAAATAAAATGATTTTACTTGCTTCATCGACTTTGGCATTTTTAAGTCAGAAATACCTGGGTGATTTGAGAAAGCAGTAGAAGGAGTAAACCTCCATACTATTTTCCCAGGCCTTACCCAAATCACCAAAGAGAGAGTAGAGGGCAGAGTGGAGACAGATGTTTACCAACACCAGATCTAAACCCTTGCATGTGTCATGTGATGAGACCAAATCAAAGAAAGACGGCAGGACAGACAAAGGGCCATTCCTGCATGAGTGGGTCTTAGTAATGAAAATTAGGGACAAGGGTTGATGGCATGAGTAGACAATGGGAGACATGAGTCTGCCGCTTGGAAAACCTCCTCCCTATAGATTCCTCTGCCTTTCCCATGCCCATATTAATTAATAGTACCTGAAACCTAGTGGAAGATAAGCTACAGTAAAGCATGAGGCTGTACTAAAGGAGACATTTTTTATGACAATATTTTAACCATAGCTCAGCGAGAATGAGCTTACACAATCAGAAATTTAAAGATAATAAAATATTTTACAAATTGACTACTCAGAGGCTAAGCATGGTGCCTTATGCCTATAATCCCAACACATTGGGAGGTTAAGGTGGGAGAATCACTTGACCCCAGAAGTTCAAGACAACCTAATTAATATAGGGTGTCCTCATCTCTACAAAGAAAACAAACAAACAAAAAAAGCCACTTGACCACTCACCATAGTGCATTATAGAACCAGACTAGAACTCTCCACTGCCTCCACACAGGTTTGAAAAAAAAATTTATGCACATAATATTATGAAATAATCATACTGTGAAACAGTTAAAATGATTGGGAATAACAAAAACAAGAAAAGAAGAGACATTGATAGACAGCAATTGCTTTGTTCATAAAAAGTGTATGGAATAATGGAATGATAAAAGAATAGACACATGATGAGTGGGGTGGCTAACTTGAAAGATGAATCCAAGCACATAATCCAAACACATAATCACACAGCAGACGGGAAAGGTGCATTGAGAAGTCGTGATCAGAATTGAAATAGCAGAAACCAAATAAATTATGTGAAGACAGTCTTGACGACACTCAAATCACACCCAGAGAAGAACAGCCAGGTAGGCGAAAGAAGAAGAGAGAGATGACAAGTATGAAGGACACCAGGGGAGCTTATCTTGGGGAGACTTGTCCTCATAAACAGAATAAGCCAAATGAAACAGAAAAAGTAATCACAGATATGACAGAAGAACTAATAATTTAACTGACAGAGGACTTGCTCCTACAGATGGAAAGATTTGAATGTATACCAGGTAAAATTAAGTCACAGGAGCTAAACATACCCTAGTGAAATAATGGAATCTAAACAGTGAAGATACAATCTTACATGTATATTCACATAACAAAGTACCATATGTTCCCAATTATATGAAAATCTGTGATGACTCTGAGTAGAAAACAGTCCTATATTCTCTTAATGAGATGATTAAAAATATAGGGCCAACTTGGAAATACAATTCAAGTTCTACTAATAATAATTAATTTCTGCTACTTTAGCATAATTTAACCTATCAGGTTAAACCATAGGAAATTGTCAGCTTTCAACTTTTTACTTACGGAAAAACAAACAAGATAAACAAATAGGCAAACAAATGAGCAAACAAAACAATTGTCTATGGATCAGTCTAAAACTCCTACCAAGTTCAGTATCTTCTGTGTAAGCTTGGTGAGTAATGGCTCTTTTGAATATGTGTTAATATACAGTCAATAGAAATTTTAAATGCATCTGAAAGTTTTCATTTTAATAATATCAGGGCAATTTTAGAAACATCCTAAAGATTTTTTTTAGCAATGTAACTACACACCCTAATTCTTTAAAAAATAATTTTCAGGTGGCTCATTTATAATGAAACACAGCACTTACAGGCATAACGCAGTGCCCCCAGGAATAATGAAGAGAAGTCAGTTAAAACCCTTTGTTTGCTGAATGTCATTGGATGAGATTTGTGAGCCTCCCAAATTAGCACTGATTGAGCTGGTTTCATCCTAGTGTGTCTCTGTAACCAAGTTCTGTATTCCTTCTAGGAGGGATGCCTTAAGGACTTGGTAAAAGTCTCCTCTCTCTGTGCTGAGGCTGGCTTCAGATTTCTCTCCTGTATCTTGAGAAATTAGAACTGGAAAAAAAGATTCAAGGTTTTCAAATGCCATAATCAGCCAAGAAGTGATACACTTGTGAAGACTGAAAGACTGCCTAACTTGAGAAGAATAACACCCATGAACGCTGTCTGAAACAAACTTAATAGAAGACATATACCTATTCTATGAAATCAGGCTCTGAATACTATAATTTTTAGAAAAAATGGTATTTCACGTGAGAATAAGTAATTTACCTAAAATAGACTTCAATCAAAACCAAGAGTTTGGACCTGGGAGTGAAAACTGGACATTTAACATAACTAGTGTATTCACAAAAGCTGGTAAAGTGATTAAAAGCCTAATTTTAATCCCATTTTAGTACTATTACGTCCGTGATCCTGAGTGCATTACTAAAAACTCTGTGGTAGCACTCCTTATTTATACTGAATAATACTGAATCTGCCTCATGTGACTGCCATGACATAAGATGTATTCCTTCATGTGAAGTTCTGAGAACAAGGTCTGGTTACACCAACATGGAGTTGCTATAATTATTGTTACCACAGCAAGTACTAAGAAATCAACGGAGAATATTGCATTTTCCAGGATGATTGCTCAGGAAATAAGGGCTTGGCAGTGGGATTTGTTGTAATTTTTATTCAAAATAGTTTTCTTATTTATACTGCTTCATTTCTTTCTGAAGTCAATATGTATATTTCTTAGTGAATTTTAATTATAGAGAAATTAAAACAAATGCTAATAACTATGAAATTAATTTTTAAAATCATAAAACAGTTTGTATTCAATCATTTGTTCAAAATCAATAGTCTTCATCCTGGGGATTATGTGTGGTAAATTGTGTAAATGACCGAGTCCTGGGTTATTGCATGCCAAAAAATTAGGGAAATTAGATAAGGAAAAGAAAACTTGTCCCAAACAAAAGACACACTGAATGCCAGAATAGAGTATTTAAATCTCTTTATATTAAAATGTTATACATTTTATACATTGTTTTTTATACAGTGTTTATTTGCCTGGTAATCTTTTATAACTTAGTCATTGTAAAGTTCTACTTGGAAGATGATAAACCTATGGAAATAGCACATCTCAGTAGGGCAGGAGAGCTAGTTGCCATTGAGCACAGTACTCACTCTACTGCCCTTTGGTATTCAATCAGATTGGCATTAATATCCCACATGGATTCAGGACACATACAAATTCTGAACAGAAAACACATTCAACATTTGATGACATGTGTTAAGCAAATATCAATATTAGCTGAAATACTTCAGTGTTCACATCAATAATAAGCAGTGTGATAAACAAGGTGAATCCTAGGGAAATGAATCAGTTTTAAGAAAAGTCTTCTAAATTTAATAGAGGTGACAATATTTGAAGGTCCTATATAAATATTCCTCCAAATATATTAGTAGAATTCCAAGCCTCAAATGAACCCGTTATATGCTAAACTTCCTACCTAGATCAAAAATCCCTTAGAGCATTTATTTCACTGTTCTATACCAAAGAAACATTTGATAAGGTGTCACTTTTATTGATGATAATGAAAAATGAAAATGGAGGTGTTGCTACTGTCTTAGTACCACCATGGTCTTGCTAGAGGGAAAGCAAGAGCTCGAAAGCAGGAGAGATGGAAAACAACCTTGGAGAAGACTTACAAGTAACCTTAAAGATCTGTAAGGCTGCATTTTTAATAAATTCAGTGGTTAGAATAATAATGCTGTATTTCCAAACACACATAGAAGTCAAAATGAATAGACTGAAAGGCAGAGATTCGCCCCCCAGCTGTGCAGGGATCATCAGACCATTATTGAGATGCTTATCCTCTGCTAAATGGCTTGTGTTGAAATTATTTTTTAAGGGCATCATTTCTTTTAGAAAAACTTCATTACTAATTTGCCAATTGAATATCCCATAAGATATTGGAAAGCATTAGTGAGTACAGAGTGAGTATTTTGATTTAAAAAACATGTGCATCCCCTGTTGTTCAATAATAATGGGGATGAATAACATCTACTTCAGGTTTTCAAATGTAATTTATGGTGATAAGACTTTTAGACAGGGGACGGATGAGCTGATGGATGATATACATATAGTTGAAACTCAGGTAATGACTGTGACATGTTTTGCATTAGGTTATGATAATGTGAAAACAATCAAAGTAATATTTTTTTAAAAACTGCCAAGAAGAAAGTGAAATAGTAAACTCCATTATATCAAGTGCTCTGATTTTTCAAATGCCTTCAACATCTTCAGTTCTAGTTTAGGAGGTGCTTTGCCTAACAAAACACAAGCAGTTGAAATCTTCAGTGGGAAAGAGGAGGGAGTGATCTTAGAGACGTTTTCAGATTTGACATTGAATAACCCATATATCAGCTCTATAATGTACAGTAATGACAGAAGGTAGATAAATTAACTCCTGCTTTTTAAAAAATATTTCTGTATTTTCTGATTTTTAAAAAGTTATTCATATAATTAGTTATATAATAAAAAGTTATATCTTTTTTAATGATGTAAAAATCTGTATTCTTATAGATTTGGCAACAGAGAATATCTACAATTAATGACTCTTGGAGAGAAGATGAGTTAATATAAGATTGGATGAGGGTACTTTTCATGTAAGTGAAATCGATTTTACAAATCTACAAATCCTGTGGTTGGGATAGATTTTTTTTTTTTTTTTTCGAGTCTTGATCTGTCACCATGCTGGAGTGCAGTGGCATGATCTCAGCTCCACTTCCCAGGTTCAGGCGATTCTCCTGCTTCAGCCTCCTGAACAGCTGGGACTACAGGCGGATGCAACCATGCCCAGCTAATTTTGTAGTTTTAGTAGAGACACGGCTTCACCACATTGAACAGGACAGTCGCAATCTCTTGACCTGGTGACCTGCCCACCTCAGCCTCCCAAAGTGCTGGGATTACAGACATGAGTCACCATGACCAGCCTTAGAATTTTTTTTTCTTCAGTTATTCAATATATATTAGGAAGACAATCAGAACAAACAGAAAATATTTTAAACTGATTATTACTAAAAATTTGCCTAAACACTCAAAGCCAAACAAATGTGGATTAAAAAAAAATCGACTAAGCAAAATCTCTTCACATCCATATCTAGTTACAATATATCCAACTGGTCAGTAATTAACCAGTATTCCCACTGAAGTTCTACAGGTACTTCACAGGCCATCGTGAGCTCCCAAGACCTTCTTTTTGAGGCATGAGATTGGAGATATTATCTATTAAATTTTTTTAAATATATATGTGTCTTTTGACCTAACAACTTTCACTATACAGATCTTTATATACTTTGGCAAAGTTATATATGTATATTATTCCATGCACAATTGTTTATAAGAGCAAGGAACGAGAAACAATGCAGATATCTTCCAATAGGAGGCAGGTTATAGAAACTGCAGCACATCCATATTAACTCCTGCTTTATCCACCCATTCATTTCCATTAGTTCTCCAACACAGAAGATACCTCAGTCAGTTCTTCAGTGATAGAAAATCCTTAATTTTTCTACACAGATTTTTTTTCTTCATCACAATTGTCATTACACACTTATGTGCTCGATAATGCGTGCGTGTTTTGTTGTTTTCATCTGCTTTCTTCCCTATTTTATGAAAAAAACAAAACAAAACAAAACAAAACAAAACTGCAGCTGCTTCCACACACTTCCCACCTCTGGAAGACAACATAGGATAACCACCCAAATATTTTATAAGTCCCTGGCAGACAGCAAATGCCACAGACATGTAACATGCAAAGCCTGGCCTTCTCAGTGCATGGTATGATAAGTTTCCCTTATATCAAGTGCTCTGGTTTTTCATCCATGTGGGCTGTTAGGGAAAAGGATCAAGTTCACATCTAAGAAGACTTGGACTCTGTAATGAAGCCAAAGAGAAAATAAATTGGCTCAGCTAGATGTTGTTCTGGGTAGCAATTAGGTAGGCAAGGGCACAGTATTCAAAAAGGTGTTTCTAGCTAAGGTGTACTTATTATAGGTGACTCAGTCTGGTGGAGAATGCATAGGAGCTGAAACGGAGAAAACAGTCATATGAAGGAGGGCAGGAGGTGCTGATTATAGTACCAGGGGCCCCACATTCCAACTGAAGTTTAGGAACAGGCACCAGCTCTAGCACATTTAGACAAGACAACCAGACAGAACGTAAAAATAGGAGTCCTTGGTGGCCATTGAGTGCTAAATCCTAGAGAAGCAATGTGTAGAGAAACAGGAGCTGGAAGGAAGCTAATATTTATTAAAAACCTTTTTCTATGCTTTGCTTGTGAAAATGGAGGGTTTGGGTGGAGAAATAAAGTGAGAGCACTTAACTCTTTCTTGTCCCAGTGAAGTCTTGAATCGAGGTGGTGAGGTTCTCTCTAGCATGGGGGAACTTCTCACACACCCTGGCCTTTACAGGCTTGGGGAATACACCCTGTGAGCATTTATGTGACTAGAGTCATATAAGAAAGTGCTGCATGGAGATCTACCTTCCTCCACCAGTGCTGCAGTCACAGGCTCAGAACTGGGGGCTGTCTGTTTTTATCCTGCAAGTAGTATGTATGGAGTAAGAGGAGATAAAATCATTTGTTCTCATTTTTTGATCAGAGTCTCTTTGACTGTGAATCTTTGGTGAAACATAATGTTTTGTGAAAGTTCAATATTAAAATGTTCTTTTCCCTAAAATAACCATCACCCCAATAATTTATAAAAATCAATCAGTAATGGATAGGATAATAATTAAACCTCATTACTAAGTTTAACGGGTTGGTATAGGAATCTCAATGGGAACATAAGCTCTGAGTTCGAGACATGTAATTTCAAAAGAGTCTTATGGGATCATCTGTTTTTTATGTCAATGTTACTTTTATTTATGTTAGCTTCCAGTTTTTTTTAGGCTTAATAAAGTAGGACTCAAAATAGTTTATTAAACAATTAAAACAAACAAAAACTTGGCTTCCTGACACCTGAATTTTTAGTCCTCTGAATAAAACTGAAAGCTATTCTCATTCAGTGTCACTACCCACATACACATACCTTTGAGACAGTGGAAGTAGCCTCACTTGCAGTCCTCATGCCAAAACCCATGAGACTAAGAGAAAAAGAAAAGCAAAGCCTTAAGTCTGAGGTCTTTTATTCAACCCCAGGACCTATGATAACATAAAGAA